ATTTTAGAATTTTTTGAAGAGTATCAAAAATCTATAAAATAAAGTAGTTACATAAATTGTTATTTTTACAGTATATTAACTTTAACAATCAGTAATTTTAATAATACATTTTTTTCCAAGTTTTGTTAAAGCAAGAGGTCCACCAAAGTCAAGGGGAAGTTTGTGTAAAAATGGCAAAATTGATACAATCATATCTCTATACTAATTACTTTGTATAAGTATATTGACTTATACTAATAAAATTCTATCAAGTAGAAGGGTTTAAAAAGTAGTGGCCCTAGAACAATAAGCTTTTTTTGGACTGTACCAAGGGTCACTTTATGAAAATTAGGTTCGAATTCATAATAAATTTACAGTTAATTTAATCTTAGACTGTTTTTAATAAATGAGGTGAGGTGGTAATCGAACTGGAAACTTCTTGATTATGAGGCGAGCGTTCTACCACTATACCACTATTGTGCTACTGTTGAATAACAACCTAGACGGGTGTTATTCGACGATTTTAGCAGTGATATTTATATAGCACAATAATTTATAATTTCTTTCTATGTGATGTTTTATATTAAAACGACATTAAAGAAACGATACACTTTATGCTAAACCAAAACTTTATTTTGAAAATAAAATCAAACAATCCTTACACAATACAATAAGAAATAAAATAACATTGTTTCTATGTTCTTTTAAAAAAATTTAACTTGGTTGAAACTTGGGCATTTTTGAAAGAAATTCGATTTTTCCACATGGAATTGCAAGCCTATATAATATAGAAATATAGTATAACATAAATAGAATAATAAAAATGCAATGAAAAGAAAAATAATAGATACCTGCTTTTGTGCCAGAAAAGTACTTAACAACTGCATTGATCGTTATATGTTAATGAATTTATTTACAAAATGAACTCTAAATGTGTGCCAGAAAAATTTGAATCTTTAAAAAGAATGAATGTTTAAAATGCTAGAATAGTCATGCCATTTACAAGCCAGAATAGTCTAAACTATTACAATACTCTATAATAAATTGATCAAATATTTCATTAAAATTAAAAATAACATAACCATATTTTCAAATATTACTTTTGTCGCAGTAGAAGTACTTATAGTTAACTGATACTAAAACAAACACTTGTAAACAAAGAACTAAGTTTAATAACAGTAGCTATTAACTATATCTCATATCGATAATCCTAATTGATATAAATAACTGATAAAAATAAAAAGTTAACTACAAAGTAAGCAAAACAAATCATCACGCTAATAACGAAATAAAAAAGCAAAAATTGACCTAAATTAACCAATTATATAACTTTAAACGTCTTTAGGACATATATAAACATAAAATAAATAACTGAGTTATTAACTAAAATTTTAAATATATTAAACAACTAAAATAAACTAAATTATTAACTAAAACATAAGGTACATAAACAAACCGACGATAGAAAACAAAACTTTTTTATGTATTTTATGTCATAAAAACTAAAAAAACAGCAGAAACAACAGGATACCTAAACATTAATTATGTAACAGGAATTATAAATCCATATTTAGAAAAACTTGAATGAAAATCAATTTTTTTTTTTCTGCACTTACAAAAATGATTGCAATCAATAAAAAAGGCACACATTTTATGACCATCTGAGACAGTAACGAAGGGAAACATCTCTAATACACCATTCTCGATACATTTCAGGTAATGTTGCCTCATTTCATTATGTTTCCATACTACTAAACTTGGATCGATACCATTACACAAAGCTGTCGCATTTGCTATTGCAAAAAGACCACAATCATTTCCATTTGGTTGTTTTTGACAATCCATTACTTCAAAAATTAAAGAACTGCTTGTTTGACAATTTTAAGAAGATAAACGTGCAACTCTATGTACTATCAATGGTATATCATCTTTATTTGAACTAATAAAAAGTGAATTATAGAACTGAACACACCTTGAATGGGAAACAACATCAGAGGAAACATTACTTAAAAGCACCCAATGTGAGTTTCTAACATTAATTATCTGCATAAAGCTGTAATTTTCTAAAAAGCCACCTGAATTAAAACAACTAAAAATACACGAACTTTCAAACCCAGATATTTTAGGAAACTGATATGAAAGCAAACTTTGTGCAATATCAATCAAAGTGTCGTCAAGCCAGCCAGATGGATTTCTTAAAATATCCAAGACCTTTTCTTTTGATTGTGTTGATAATTTAGAATAAAAATTACTGGGAACAAGAGCTGCACAAAAAACTTTAGAAAACTTTGAACTTCTGCATTTACTTTTTTTAATTATATTATCAGATTTAACACTTTCTACAACACTATCAACTGGCTTATTTTTTTTGACTGCTAAAATTTTGTTACTATTATTATTGTTACTATTACTATTGTTATTATTAGTATTATAATTACTAGGAGAAGCAGGAAAAAGTTTCACTTCACTAACTTTTATTTTCTTTCTTTCTAAATGATACATTAATGTGGATGTTTTAATG